AAGTGGAGAGGGGTGGTGACTGCCAGGTTCTTACATTGTTTACAGCCATTGTAATTAAAGCCGAAATAACAAAGGTGTCAAGTCTCGACTGGATACAGAGTGAGTTCAGTATTGCTCGTTGGGCGCTCTTGAAAGCCAAACGATAGCAATAAAAAATAAATTCAAAACAAGATTGGACATCACAGAGCAAGAACCTTCATCAACAAATACTCTAATATACAGAACTGTATTTTATGCATATCTTAAAAAAACATACGTAAAAACACATGTTCACAGATTTATGTTAAAGGCAGTGGGAGCTTTACTTGGTTAACGCTCAGGGTATGTTTTATAAGTTAGTCCAGAAAAACATTTACAATCACACTGCGCCGTGTAATACATGCAAAACACACGTGGGTTTATGCTCTGTCACACTTGAGAAAGAGAGATATTTTTTTACAGAATTTTGTGTCTTTTGTCACAAATCACCAAACCAATGCAAATTGAGATTTCGGATAGGTCTACGCACACACGGGACACAATGCGTTTGTTAAAACTCCCCTTATCACCGCAAAGCAAACCACACTGTGGGTTTTATAATAGACTCTCCTTTTGCCGATCCAAGGGACGTGTGTATTGCAATAAGTCTGAAACTTGCAAGCGAAAAGCAGATCGCGACGTGATATATTCATTGCGTCAATTTGCGTTCAATCAGTAAGGCTGCAGTGACACAGACCAATTTCATTTAAAAGTTATAATCCCTTGTTCATCATGACATCCTTTTTACTTTGTCTCAACATCGTTACGGAGATCATGTTACGTGAGGGTTCTGCCTTTGTAGTTAGGGTTATAAGGGGCCATCCATTTAGTACGTACGCATGGAGGGGGGAGGGGGGATTAACCCAAATGTGTACGCTTGCGTATGGGGGGTCTACTGACAATGTACGCATAGGAAACGGGGGGTGGGGGGTGGGGGGGTGAAGCCTCGATAATAATTTGTCTACATTGTCCTTCAAATGAGTTAGGGGCCGTCCATAAATGACGTCAAGCGATTTTGGACGATTTTTGACCCTCCTTCGTCACATGGCGTCACAAAAAGTCAGACCCCCCCCCCCTCAAATATGACCTCACAAAGCTCTGCCCCCCCCCAAAAAAATAAAACATGCTTCAAATCGCTTTAAACTCTTGTCATTGTAGTGCGTATTTTAATGTGGCGCTGCACTCTGATGTAGTAGGAGAAAATATTTAAAGTTGCGCATTTTGATGTGACGTCACATTTCTCAACCCCCCCCACCATCGTCACACATCGTCACAAATGTCTGACCCCCCCTCTCCCTAGGTGCGTGACGTCATTTATGGACCGCCCCTTAAGAGAAAAATAGGCGTTCATAAGAGAGTACTTGTTCAACCGTTTGCCAGTCCCATTGCTGGCTGAAGGCCCCTCCCCACACTGTCGGTCACTGGAGTAGTTTTTGCCGCATGAGTGGTGATGCTGCAATGGGCCTAATGGGTCGCGTCTCCAGCAGCTCTCTCCGTCTCTGGCCGCGTGACCTCGTCGGCGTCGATAGTGAAGATTCTGGCACGGGCCACGGTTCTTCGTGCAGAAAGGTGTTATGGAGGCTCAGTGGCCCTCCCGGGTGGGCCCTTGCTACCGATAACCCGGCGGTTAAAATCCGAAATGCCGATGCAAAATGAGTTCACGAGGCTTCGCTCCGGATGACAGTTGCACTTCCAAATTCAGGAAATGTTGAACTTATTTCGCACCGTACTTTAGCCAACCGTGTGTAGTGGGCTATTTTATGGAGACGGAGACATTGGGGGTAGAGGCAACACGGCGTGTTTATTTCTAACTACAGCAACTCCCTTACGCCCCCTATCTGGGGAGGTACGGCCTCCGGGCTATCGGGGCCTAAACACCGCCCCCTGCTGGCTCCCAGCCCTCCGGCTAGCAGTGTCCTACGGGAGGCTACCTGACCCGACCCAGCCAAGGTACGGGTCCCCGACCACTGGTCCAAGCTCGACCCGGCCCTTACAAAGGCAGCGGGTTCGAGGTCCCAGGGTCCTAGTCTAGCTGCTCTTCAGTCTTCGTAACTCTGCCCCCAACCTGTGTTGAGGTCCGGCTTTTATACACCTCTCCGGTGTGTCAGCCTCTGGCCACGCTCCCTTTCCCGGCGGGGGGGGGGGGTCCCGGGGGATCCCAGAACACCCCCGCAGCCCCCTCCCGGGCTGGGGATCGTCACGACCTGCCCGTCGGCTCGAGACACCGCCCCTGATGGGCTGCACTGTCCGCCATTGGGGGTTATTGCAGCACATCAACAGCGCTGCACATGCGAATCGGAGGTGTGTGAAGGCAGCCTCCGGTCGACAACGTGTTCCAATCACACAGCAGACACATGCCATTGCCGGGCTGACGGATTATGTACGTAAACTTCATATTCTTTCAGTCCTTAAGGCGTTCCAGTTAACCAGTAGAGTTGCAGCACGCATCATCTTCTGCTCTCCGGCTCTCTCTCTCTCTCTTCTTGCTCTTGTATTATCCCACACCAGACTTCTCTCAGACACACCGGCATATTCCACACCTCCGGTTAGTACGGATGGCTCGGTACGGTGTGAAAGAAGTTCAACGTACGTAGATACATGCCTCTTCATCTTCCCTGCATCATACGCACGAATATTTCACTCTGCCGCTTTCTCTTCCTTTTCCTTCATCTTTCTTGGTTACATGCTGAATCCCCCCCCCCCCCCCCCGTCTCTTCATCATCTTTGTCCATAAAACCATCGCTATTTATCGCATATTTCACCTCTAGCCCTTCTGTCTCACTACGACATCATCCTTTCTCTGACAGTTTCTCTGCTTCTTGCAATAGAAATGTCGTCACACCACTCATTCTACAAAATAGCTGTTTCCCGTTCAATCCATCACCTCGAAAGACGTTTGCCATGCACTTTGAAGGCATTTGCGTTATAAGTAAGAGACTGTAAAGTTTTGTAACGATTAGGAAGGCTCGTGGCAAGCGTATGTTGAGTGAACTGCAGTTCAATAACGTTGAAGAAATCGCAATTCATGCGTGAAGATAACGGACGCGTGTGGCTCGGACGAATTAAGCGATATCAATGTAGTTCCAGTTATCGTCATCAGAAGTGACATCGGCACCATCAGTAACAGCGGAACCATCGACAGCAGAACCATTGTATCCATAGGTTTTTTTTCTGGGTTAGATTGCGTAAATGTCGTTAAGACCCGCCACCATCCGATACAGCCAACTAGCAAGGGTTGTCACGAAAACAGAAAATGCCAATTCGTCACTAGTTGGGTTTTGACTACACATTTCTATATTTACGCGATCTAACCCCAAAAAAACCCTCTTATGGATACTGGTCGCGAAAGCCCACGTGTTTAACATAACCATTATCGTTAATAGCGGCAGCACTCATAGCCAACACCACACGCCAATGGGCCCACTGTGCATGATTATCAGTCTGTCGTTAGCTGAAGACGGTGGTTGGTGTGCTATGAAGGCCCATTGCGAGACGCAGGATTTGAATTTGTGGCACAGAACGATGGCGTGGATCACAGTGCATCTTTTGGTCATCGACACCTCATTTGACATCTCTGCCTCCGTGTACATCTCTTCTCTTTCACTCATCCATAACCTTTTCATTCATGTCATTATTTCTACACCTATATCACTCATCCACGTCGCCTTTCATTGATTCCATTGCGTGTTTTCTCTTTTCTGCATCACTTCTCACATGACTAGATCTCTCATCGGTTTGCTCAAAACATCTCTTGCTAGTGACTGCAGATCCTTGGCTGGGCATACATTTCATGACATCACATTAATAGTGGTGTGTAAAACTACACGCAAGCATACGCACGCTTCACTGCGCTAGTGGATTTTCTGGGGACCCTCATCAGCGGTTCCTCTTGGTTGAACTCTGACGTCATGCCAGGGATATGAAACCTAACACCCATCCAGATCCTTCACCTCACGTCTCCTTTCCTCTCCACGCGCCTCCCTTCACGTCGTGTTCATTCGCCCCTATATTTCTCTTCACATCCACGATGCTACCAAGGCTCCTTTCTCCTGCCAGTCTCCACCTCCCCATGCCACTACCATAACCGACTCGCCCTTTCCAGCAGATCAACATTTGGAATTTGTTATTTAAAATAAACACCCCCACGTGCAAACACGCGAACAAACTTTCCCCATATGACGTTCAACAGACTGCTGTAGCAAGTGTTGTTAGCGAGCAGCTATTAAGATTGACACAGAACACATGTGCACACATACATGGGGGACATGGGAATGCTTGGCGGCAGGAAGTATGAGTCAGGGGGTTGTTGTAGTTAACTTTCAGGGGTAGATGCAAGCAGGGGCGGAGCCAGGGGGCGGTGACAGGGGTGACATCCTGCGTGTAAGTGTACGACACTCGGTCTGGCGGGCTCCGTGCAACTGCGTTGTCAGAGTGTGTCGCCAACCGATGGCGTCTAGTTCAACAGCCTGACTCTCTAATCATTCTTGAAATTAAAATTTGTTGAATGTCACCCCGGCCTGAAATTCTGGCTCCGCCCCTGGATGCAAGGCTGTGGTGATGCCCGGAGGACGGATTAGGCTCGGTGGTTAGGCTAAGGCAGTTTAGCAAATGACACTTGCCAGCCACAAAAGCACTTTAACATTTCGTTATTATTCGTTGACGTAACAATTCAAATAACACTGCACATACCTGATGACTGATGAACAATAGACGTGAACGAGCACACCGATTGAAAAAAAAAACGCTCCACTGGCGATTTGTAATGGACATTTTTAAATCGTTAAGCACGTTTACAAGGACACGATTTGTATATGAATGGTGAATAGTGATTATTGCAGATCTACACACTGTGGTGAGCAGGGGGGAGGGGATTAAGAGCGGGGCTAATTCTGGCAATATGACTTTAGCATCCTCTCTATGTTCGAACAGGCGAGGGTGAATGTTGATAAGAGTTGTTGCCAGTGGGATGTTGGTAAGGGGGGCTAGCGCAAGCAGTTCTGTGAGAGCCTCCCCGTATTGGCGCCTTCCAGCTGCTGCTGCTTCTTCTTCCGCGACTTGTCCCCCTGGAAGCAGCGCCACAGGCGCAGGCTCTCATCAGCACCAAGTGACATCACGGAGGATCCGTCGGGGCTCGCTGCAACCTGCAGCACGCGGCCTGTATGGCCTGCAGGGTATGGAGAGACATGGCGGGGGGGGGGGGAAGACACATGGGGGAGGGAGAGACACGGTATAGTCACACAAGGTGGAAGAGACAGGGACGCGGGGGTTAGACGTGGATCATGGGGAAGGGATGGGGACGAGGGAGAGACATACGCGAGGGAGAAAGACAATTTGGCGGTGTGGTTGTTTGTATCCTTTAATAAACCAGATGAGATGAACCCACGGAGTCACGTGAAACATCACTAGCTTTCTTTCAAGGACGACCTGGGATATGTAGTTGTGTCCCCCCATGACCAGTGTCCCCGTGTCCCTATACTCAGTAGTTCTGCGGTGAATGCCAGTGGCCGGATGCACAACCAGTGTGTATCCCCCTATGCTCCTGTGCGTCCCGTCTTCGTATGCCCCTATTTTGCCTCGTGTGTCACTTACTCTTTAGCTCGATGCTGGACATCATTGATGAGTAAACTCTTCAGCACCATGTACCCCCATGTCCCTGTGTATCCCCATTTGTCTGAGGTTATTCCAATGCTCATCTCACGAATGGGCATGTATGTATGATGGACTTCTTTCATACCACATGTAGCCAACCGTGCTAATCAGAGGTGCGGGGAAGGACAAACTAAACACAAAAAGCAGTTCTAAACAAAAAAGCAGTTATACAGAAATCATGAACAGGCACATTTACATTGTCCCTCCACCTCATGTTGCCATCTCCACATTTGTCCTTGTGCCTGTGTGTTCGTGTGCCCCCATACCTAAGAGCTCGGCGATGGGCACCATCTCTGGGTAGGCCCACAGTGCGAGTTGGTTCCTGGGGTAGCCATGGGCGGAGAGCAGCTCCTTGTGCTCGCTCGACCACAAGACGGAGCACACCTGGGCGGGGGAAAGAGTCGTGAACACGCGTCCGCGTGCCTTCGTGCCCGAGACACGCAATGTCCACGGCACTGAGACATTGCTAACCGTGTCTCGTGTCCCCCATTCTCGCAGAGCATCTCACTCGTGTCTGTGTGTCCATGCCTGAGACACCGCGTCCACTGCCTTGAAGCAGATTCCCGTGTTGACATTCCACAGGCGAATGTGGTGGTCGTTTGCTCCACCCCCACTCGCCAGCAAACTCGCTTGCCACGGACACCACGCGAGTGCCTGTGTAGTGGGTTCACGGGACACCGAGACAGTGGAGTAGAGGCAGCACTATTTATTCAAGCTTGGCAGAGTTACACTGAGAAGGGGTAATGGCCCCTTCACCCGTATACACGCTGGGACACCTCCTAGGCTATCAGCCTAACCACTATGCTCCCCGTTCCTCCGCTACAGGCGCTAGAGGAGGCTATCTGACCTGGCCCTGGTCATGGCACAGGTCACGGCACCCCACCAGACAGACCGACCCTTAAAATGGCTCCGGCTCTGAGGCTCTGTGGCCGCACCATTGGCTTGCCCTGCCGGCCCTGAAAAGGGAAGCGGTCAGGGTAGTCCCAGGGTCTATCTAGCCGGCCTTCCTTCTTCACTGGTTCTTCACTCTTGGCCCCAACACTCTGCCCCGAGCCCTCTGGCTCCCCGCCCTTTATACCCATACACCACTGAGGGGCGGGGCTGTAGCGGACGTGGAAGTAGCCACCACTGTGTAACCGTGTGTTCCCTTCCCGCAACACCCCTACACCTGTCTACAAAAAGACAGACAGACACGAAGAGACAGACAAAACAGACGAATATTCTTCATTTACCCTCTCAGATTGTTGAGGCCAGTTCCAACATCGCACACCTATTAGGTCTAGCACGGCACATCACGCCAGCCGCCTTTGTCTCCCCATTGCTGATGTTCAGACACCGCACCAGGTAGGCATGGAAGGGCTAAGTTGACTACGAGGAGCTCAGGACCAATTCAGATATCACTTGCAACCGATGTTAGCTGTGGCCGGGAATCGAACTCGGGATGCCGGGTTTGGAGCGCAGTGCGCTTTGCAATGCATGACTGCTCAAACAGAAGCACAGGGATAGCGCGTCAGTGAACGTCACGCACTCGGCGTGCACACGTTGCACACTGTGGCTCATGCTGTGGAGTCGGGAGGGCAGGTGCTCCGTCTTCCAGTTCTAAGTTAACCCATAACACCTCGGACCTGTGCCAAGATCTCTTGCCAGCAAGCCTTCAACACTTCACATGACCTGCAAAATGCACAAAGGCCATCTGTGCTTTTTATACGTTTCTGCATTATTTTTCTGTTTTGATGGGGGTTTTTTTCAGACGAACACTGCGGTGACGTTTCCGCTGCTTAGCGGCCGTTACAGTAATTGGCTCGGCACACGTCGGCGAGCGCGTGTGTCAACGTGTCTGTTGTGCCAGCACGTCACTGTGTGCGTGTCCCTGCCTTGACGGCGGCCGTGTGCTGCCGGAGGGCACGGAGGGGTGCCGAGGATGTGATGCCGTTGGCCCACAGGAGGAGTTTTCTGTCGCTGCTTCCGCTGGCCAGCAGGCGTCCGCAAGGGGACCACGCCAAGCCGCACACCTCCTGGGAGTGGCCACTCAGTGTGGCGACGTGATGCTGCATCATCCGCACGTCATCGTGGTGGATCTGACCCGAGCGGGACCCACTACAACAACCGCTGCCATGACCGCAGAGTTTACAAAAAAACGACAACCGCCACGGCCGCAACAAGGAACGGCGACGAAGTTTGTCCGAGTTGCTGGATCTTACCCAAGTTGAGAGCCACAACCCGTCACTACAACACCAGTGTCAACCACCACAACCACAGTGTTAACCACCACAACAAGTGTGTGTGTGCGCTTAAGCACTTGCCTTGACAGGAGGTGTCCGTTCCAGAACAGGGAGCTCACACGCCCCATGTGGCCCTGCATACTCCTTAAACACTTGTTGCGCTCCACGTCCCAGATCTACACGTGCAAACACACACACACACGGAGACCCACACGAGGATAGGCACGCGCCCCGCACACGCACGGGGACACAGACGCACACGCGGAAATATACAATGGGGAGACACAGGCACACACGCACAACGACATAGACACGTACAAGGACATACAAGTCACGGCACCAATAAAAAGCCCACCTGCTCACTTCCCATAATCCTCTGCTCTCCACCCCTTACCCCAGAAGTCTCACATTTGTGGCATTTTCCCCATTAACCCCTTCTCCCCCACCGGTCACTTGCTCCACACTCCCCTTCCAGAATGCCTTGCTCCTTGAAATAACCCAGAATCCTCTGCTCCAGGCCCCTTACCAGAATGCTGTGCTCATTACCTGCACGGTGTTGAAACTTGTTCCTATGGCGAGGATGTTGCCTCTAGTTGGTACCCATGAGAGGGACGAGGGGTAATACCGCCCCTCCATCTGATACGCGGGCAAAGACACAGCGCACAAACACGGCACGGCCTTAACACCTTTCTCACGCTCAAGTTCCCGGTGTGCATTTTGCTGCCTCAAGGCACCCTGTCTGCTTTTCACAAGAACACAACACTGACCCCGTATCCCCATGCATCTATGAATGAGCCTGTTTTCCATTCGTCTGTGCGTGTTTGCATTCCAGTGTGTCTGCATGTCTGTGTGGATCCCTGCATGTATTCCAGTATGAGGAGCGGTCGTGTAGTGATTAGCGGGCTACGTTATAAACCCGGAGACCCAAGTCCAATTTCCGCTCACCGTTAACACAAGTGACAATTCTCCGAACCAATCACTCGCCTCCCCTAAGCAGACTCAACATCAAATGAGTGCTTATCACCCATGGGGAGACAAAGGCGGCCAAGTCTGGTACTAGTCACCCACCCCCTTGTGTGCCAAGGCTATATGGGGAGATCTTTGTATTTTTGTCCCAGTATCTCTCCGCATGCCTTCATGTGCTGGGTCACATTCCCCGTTTCTGCGTCCCACAGATACGTCCCAGCGTGGCCCAGCGCCACACACACGACGTTGTCCACACTCCAGTCCAGCGGGTTGAGGTCTGCGCGCACGGGGGGTACGGGGTCACAGGTCAGGATAAGGGTTTAAACTTTTAGTTCAGGACGAAATTTGTGTTGTGCGTATATATGCATCTATATTACACGTATACACGGGTAAATATGGATTTTATACGATGCCGGTTTTGCGATTCAGGAAAGGTCTAGATTTAATAACTGGTTAATAACTGCCGAGTCCAGCGGCTCTCAACCCATGGGTCATGCCCCCGACGGGAGATCAAGGCCTTAGTTGTGGCGGGGAGGGCGGTGGTGTCGCAGGCTGCAGCAGAGTGGATACTGTGCCGGATAACTGTAGAATGCATGAGGAGAACATCGGTGCCACATTGTGGCGACAAAAACACTAAACCACAACGTGAAGCAAAATGCCAAACTCACACTGCATTGACGAGGTGCGTGGACATCATCTCAGTATTGTGGCCTTAGTCATTGGTCAGGGTGGGCGCGTGGGGTGACCAGCGGTCTTGATTGTGGGGGGGTACTCGTATCTAAAAATATTCATTTGCTGCTATAAATTTCTATGTGATGAGCCACTTTGTTGAGCTATCATTTGTGTGGCCAGGTTGCTGCTGAAAGAATAAGTTAATAGCTCAGCGGGCTTTAAGACCTGGTAACCTTTACTCGTGTTATATATAGTGATTTGTTTACCTTATCTATACATTGCACTCCTTTCGTGTTTTTATATTGTTTGTTGTAACATTCTGACCAGTCCCTACTGGACATCTTTAAAAAAAAACAGCTGCATAGCTCATTGGATTCCTCCAGGATGAATACATATTTAGATTCTGATGTTGAGACGTAAAATTATGGGCCATATTCTTAGTCACGGATCAGCTCTGGCTTGAGGCGCTGATGTTTCTTTCAAACGTGGATCAACAGCTCAGCCTCGTCTCGTCGAAATCCTGAGCATGCTGGGACCATGCTCAGAGCTGGCTCAAGTTAAGCACGCTGCTCACTTTAGCCAAGGCTGAGCTGAGCAGAGCTCTGGCCGAGGGGTTTATTCTGACCGGAAGGAACCATGGTATCTATGTTAACGATGATGAGTTATTCACATGTGCCTGCGTATATGTGTATGCACGTGTGTGTGTGTGTGTGCGTGCGTGCGCGCGTGTGCGGGTGTGTGCGTGTGTGTGCGTGTGTGCGCGCGTGTGCGTACGTGTGTGTGCGTGCGTGTGCGTGCGTGTGTGCGCGTGTGTGCGCGTGTGTGCGTGTGTGCGTGCGCGCGTGTGTGTGTGCATGTGTGTGCGTGTGTGCGTGCGCGCGTGTGTGTGTGCATGTGTGTGTGTGCGTGTGTGTACGTGTGTGTGCGTGCGTGTGTGTGTGCATGTGTGTGTGTGCGTGTGTGTCCGGCAAAAACAACCCCCTACCTCCTCGCGGTGCCGGACGGGCAACTCTGTCGTGGACAGCGCTGTGGGGGGAGATCCAATTTTGATTGGCTCCTCCCCTCATGGCATATGTGTCCACCACAGGGGCTAAACGGGGGCTCTGGACGGGTGCGAGGGGCTGGTAACCCCTCCACCTTCAATTAATTACCACGAAACCACGAATTAAACTGAAATATGTAACAACTAAGCTTGTGCCGGAGGCCCCGGGGGGCCAGGCGTCTATGACGTCTCCTGGCCAAACCCCAATTGGCGGAGCCAGGAGATTGAATACCTACCCTCGGGGCTACTCCAGAAACAACGAAAAGCCACTACGGGTGGCCACGTGGAATGTTCGAATGCTCACTGCAGAGGAGAGGCTGCCACTCCTCTGTCGGGAACTGGACCGGTACCGCCTGGATCTATGCGGCATTCAGGAGGTCCGGTGGACCGGCTCTGGCTCCTGCCACCATGAGGGGTGGACAGTCCTCTACTCGGGGCAGCAGACTGCCAAACAACAGGGTGTGGGTCTTCTTTTGAACAAAAGAATGAAGGGGGCGTGGGAGCGTGGCGGTGAGGTGTGGGAAGCTGTAAGCCCCAGGCTACTTTGGGCTCGCCTTCCCATCAACCGGAGGCGAGGAATGGTGGTCGTGGTTACTTATGCCCCCACCGAAGATGAACATCCGTGGAGGGATGCAGGCAAAGCCGATGAGTCAGATGCCTTCTATGACCTCCTGTCACAGGTGCTGGCTAAAGTGGCCCCTCGGGATAGAGTCATCATGTTGGGTGACTTCAATGCCCGAGTTGGTCATGATACTGGCACCTGGTCTGGAGTGATTGGAGGGCATGGGCCAGATCAGCTCAATAACAACGGTAGGAGGCTGCTAGATTTTTGTGCAGCCCATGGGCTTGTAATTACCAACACGCTGTTCCGGCATCGGCGCATCCACACAACATCATGGATGCATGCCGGGTCCAAGCAAGAACATCTGCTGGACTACATAGTGACGGACCAGCGAATGCGAGCCCATGTCCTTGACACCAGGACCTACCGTGGAGCTGATCTGCCCTCTGACCATCGACTAGTCATCTGTAAGATGCGCCTGCCATTCTTCCACTCCGGTGGTGGGTGTACACCCAGGACCACCTTCCAACCTAAAGTGGCCTGGTCTCAGGTATCTGATGAAAGTTGCAAGCGAGAATTTCATCATCGCTTGCGGCTGGGATTGGCATCGTCCCCGACTCCTCCTGATGTCGAGGGTAAATGGGCGACGTTTAGGACTGTGACTCATGCAACTGCAATGGCTGCTTTGGGTACGCGGTCCAGACCTCCCCAGACACCCTGGATGACAGAGGAGTTGTTCAGGATGGTTGAGAAAAAGCGACAGGCCCACTGTCATCGGCTACAGAATCCCACGTCAGAGAATGAGGAGGCTTACCGCAGCCTTCGCTCGGAGGTTCGGAGAGCCGTGAGGCGCTGCAAGGATGGGTGGTGGTCGCGGGTTGCTGAGGAGATGGAGTCTGCCTCAGTGGCCCGTGATCACAAATTTCTATTTAACTCCATCAAAAAAGTAACCTGCAGCGCCACACCTATTACCATCATTAGGGGAAAAAACGGTGATCCAATTTCCGACCCCCAGGAACAGGTTCGCAGATTTGCTGAGCATTTCTGTGAGGTCCTGGGGGAGGGAAAATCCCTGAGCCAGGAAAACATCGTGGCACAAAGTGAGGATGACCCTGCTGAGGCTGCGGTGCCTCAAATATTGGATGAAGTCACCCCCTGTGAGTGGCTGGCTGAGGTGCCATCTGCTGAGGAAGTATTGAAGGCGATCCGGAGTCTGAGACCAGGAAAGGCAGCGGGCAGAGATGATCTCCCAAGCGAAATGCTGAGGGAGGGTGGCGTTTGTGCACAGACTGCCCTATATGACATCATAACAACAGTCTGGACCACTGGACGGGTTCCGCAGGATTGGAAGGATGCCCTGGTGGTCCCCCTTTTTAAGAAGGGGGACCGCACAGACTGTAACAACTACAGGGGCATCTCACTCCTCAGTGTGCCGGGAAAGGTCCTGGCAAGGATTATTCAGCATCGCCTTGCCAGGCACGCTGAGGAGAGGCTTGCGGAGCCCCAATGCGGTTTCAGGAAAGGGCGGTCCTGCACAGATGCCATATTTTCTGTCCGTCTGCTACAGCAGAGGTGTAGGGAATTCCAACAAGACCTACACCTCTGCTTTATTGACCTGGTCAAGGCCTATGATACCATCAGTAGGCCTGGGCTCTGGGTCGTTCTTCGTGCTTTTGGAGTACCTGACCCTCTGCTCACGATCATTAAGGACCTTCATGATGGTGAGCGGGCCCGGGTAAAACTACGTGGCCGGGAGTCAGAGCCATTCCCTGTACACCTTGGGGTGCGACAGGGATGTCCTCTGGCTCCCACATTATTTAACATCTAATTTGACCACGTAGTTCGTGAAGCCTTCAATAGCTGTACCGGGGGAATCTCCATATGGTACAGATATAATGGGAGGCTAATCGATGCCCGGGTGCGGTCAAGGGATGGCTCCCTATTGCTCAACCACGTTATGTATGCTGATGACTTGGTAATAGCTGCTCAGTCAGAGGAGGAGTTGGAGACGCTGCTGCTGAGACTGGAGCGTGCCACTAAGAGGTGGGGCCTTACCATCAGCCCCACCAAAACTAAGCACCTGCCTGGGTATTTTGTACCATCGGACACTCCACCCCCACAACTCCCAATCGGTGATGGGGCAGTTGTGGAGAGAGTGGAGAGTTTCCCATACCTGGGCAGTGTGCTTATGACTGGCTCCAGTTTAACAGCAGAGGTCTCACTCCGAATCAGTTGAGCGGCAATATATTTTCATCGGTTGCGTAACGCTGTGTGGAAGCTACCTGGTCTGTCGCTCCGCACTAAGCTTCAGGTCTTCTCGGCCACGGTCATTCCCTCCCTTCTCTACGCTTGCGAAACGTGGACCCCCCTAATGGAACATCTTCGCCGGTTAGAAACATTTAGGCTGGCTTGCCTACGATCCATCCTGGGTTTAACCAGACTGGATTGTGTGAGGAGCTCACAAATCCTTGAAAGATCTGGGCAGGGTCCCATCGGTGAGCTCCTCCGGCAGGCAAGGCTGCGATGGCTGGGTCATGTAGCCCGCATGCCCAGCCACCGCATGCCGAAACAGCTTTTGTTTGGCCGGATTGAGGGGGCTAAGCGGGCGCGGCACGGGCTAGAGAAGAGATGGAGTGATGTGGTACAGGAGGACGTGGAGCTGAGTGGACTTGCCGATGACTGGTACCAGCGGTGTTAAGATCGGCCTCTGTGGAGGAGGCTCGTGAAGGATGCTACTGGGCAGTTGGAGGCAGTCGCCCTCCAACAACAACGGAGGGCGGAGGAGCGACGCTCACAACAGCGAGCGGAGCGCCGGGTGGCTAAAGCACAGCAGGTTGGCACAGTAGGGGGCACAGGTGGTGCATCAGCCAGTCATCTCAGTCAGTCGACCCGTGGCACCTGGGTCTGCCCCGTGACCTCCTGCCAGCGGGCGTTCGACACTTCACGTGGCCTCAGGGTGCACATAGCCTGGCACAAGCGTCGTGGTGACGTCACCGCCACTTAGTGGCGAATGGCGGTTGTTGTTGTGTGTGATAGTGTGT